AAGATAAATCTGAATCTATGTAACATCCAACTTATTCGACTTAAGTCAAATTGGTGCATAGAACTTCTGTACACTTTCCCTGCACAGCCCTGGGGTTTGGAAAACCCCAGCCACTGGCACCAGCCCCAGGGCTGCTCTTTCCACCTCCCTCGCTGGCTATTGTTTCCTGCCTGGCCTCTTGCTCCCCCCCCTTCCCAGACCAGCCAGCTCTTTCAACTCCCATCCCACAAGCCACTTCTGGTGCAGCCACTTTTATCAGTATTTGCTGCTGCTGGAGCCAAGCAAGTAAGTCCTGGAGCAAGGAGGGGCAGAAACGATGGGGGTGTAGGTTCTCCAGGGCCCCCCCCATGGACCCCACAACCCCCCCAATCCTGCCAAATACTCCCAAACCCCAGTAAAACCCTGTGGGTTGCACCTGTGCCCCCACCCCATCCATGGGTCAGGCCTATCCCCACCCTACCCCTCACAGGTTGTGCCTGCCACCCCCACCCCTAACAGGCTGTGCCTTCCCCACCCAATCTGCCAGCCGACCCCCGATTCCCTCCAGCCTGCTGCAACCTCAGTCCCCCCACTAGCCCTCCCATCCTGACTTACCTGATATCGGGCAGCCATTTTGAACCATCTTAATCTCCCCCAAAGGTCTGTACTTAGCTTTTAGGTCCGTTCCTTCACTTTAATACCTACTGACTTCACTGGGTATGACAGTTCGGACTGGGCCCTCTCTTCTTCGGTTCAGAATGCCAACCTTTCTTAAACTGAATCTTCCTATGCACATTGATGAAGAAAATTTAGAGCCATTACCACAGTAACCTTCCTCATCTGAGGCTGTGTCTTGAAGTCCCAATCAAGATTAGGGTCACTAGTCTAGGTGTGTCACATCAATCTCTGTCCCAATATAAACAGACAAAGGTGGGAGAAAGTTCCCCCTTCCCCCCATAAATGGGAATTATAAACCTTCCTGAGAGAAAGGGTTAATAAACGAGCTGCCAGTGTCACAAGGGGAGTTTCTGGCTGATGCCGTAACCACCCTCTCATCCTTCCTTCCTGTGCTCTTTTTGCCACAAGTTATTTGGTTATAGCCATTTTGCTTCAGTGAACCAGAGATGATGCAAAAGTTTCTGGACTTTGCTGCTCCGTCTGTGTTTTTATTTTTATGCAAGGTGGACAGAGAAATGGGGATTATTCTGCAGCCTGGATTTTTTCAAAGGTGACTGCTTCAGGCTTGCTGATGCACAGACCTACCAGTCAGAGCCTGCTACTTTCTGACATCTGGGCAGTGCCAGAGAAGGGCTTCCACATGTTGTAGGAGAAAGTGCCTTGAGAAGGAAACTTCCCCAAATTCAGAATGGATGGAGCTGACAGCAAGGGCTGAGTTTCTGTTTTGTGGTTCTAAAATGACACCAACAAGGGGAAAAATGAGCACAAATGGTAACATTTAGGTTTGTGTCAAAGCTGGAGAATCCTGCAAATTGACATTTTCCCTTGAGGCTATGTTAGTTCCCTCCCCTGTCTGCCTGTGCCTCTATCTTGTTCCTTGCTTCTGTGGCTTTGTCTAGGGCAGTGGTGGCACACCTTTTTGGCAGGTATGTCACTAGTTAACATTTCCCTCTTCCTCCCCACAACCCCAAATGCTACTCTGATCCCTCCCTCCTCCCCCACCCCTGGCCCAGAGGCATGCCTGGTAGAGTCTGCACCCTGGGGTGCCAGAATAGCATCAGGAGATACAAGTCTCTAGCCCTCTGGAACAGATTGGCCACCCTGTTCTATTACTTTGCATTGCTTTGGCTTAGAATTTAAAAGAAAACTCAAGTAAAAAGATTTCTTGTAAATATTTTAAAGTGTGGAAGACCAATGCTGTGCACTATACTTGTGCACAGGGTCTTTGATAAAGGAGTCTCAGGGCTGAGAGGGTGGGGTGGCAGCTTCATGTCTCTTACCAGTGCAACAGGTTTATTACTTCATGGCCACAGCTGCAAGAGGTGTCTTTACCCTGTGACAGGCTCAGTTGAGGCCCCTAAAGATACTTTCAGTGATGGGTTTGCCATGTGCCCAGTGACGGCTCTGGGCCCTACACTTCCCACGGGACAGAACAAGTGGGGCACAGGGATGAAGCAGCACTCTGGTAGCTGGAAAGCCTCACGATGTGGCACTGGCACTGACAGAACGACTTGCACTCTGCATGCCAGAGACTGTCTGCAGGGTGCCACTGGGGTCTCCTGGAACAGCCTGCTCCCCCCTCACTGGGCAGCTCCCTCAGCAAACTCTCTTAATGTGGTTGCTCCCAGTCACACCCTCTTGGCTCATGTGTGCAATACCCTCAGTGTCTGGGCTATTCCATGGGACAGTGTGATGAAGTGTTGCTGAGGGCTGGCTCTGGGGCAGCACACAGTATCCCCAGTATCTTGGTCTCAGGGCTCCTTGTAGGGCACTGATATTGGAGCCCTGGTGTCATGCTGGCTTGTGGCAGCCACATCTGGGGCCACTGAGGGATTGAGGTGCCAGCCAGGGTCCGGAGGAACAAGCAGAGCTTAGGACCAGGCCAGGTCAGGAGGTCAGGGGATCAATCTGAGACAGGGGTCTACTCTAGAAACAAGCTGAGTCAAGAAGCCAGGATATCAAGCCGAGGCAAAGAGCAAGCTGGAAGGAACAGCAAAGCAGTTTAGAGTCAAGTGAAGCACTACTGCCCAGACCCTCCCTGTTTTGGGCCAGGGTTATATGGGGAAAGTGGAGGATCAGCTGACCCTGGTTGGCTCCAGTGCAGAGATGTGGAGCAGAACATTTTCCAGTGCTTTATTTTTCCATGGGAAATTTTCCATTACTAAAAATTCATCGTTTCATAAAATTCATTAGTAACAATGAATGGATGCCAATACCATATTAGGCAAGCTTGACAGTTTCAAAGTTGTAATTAATGTTTTTCAGGTGATTATCCCTAGGAAGTGTGTGAGAAAGCACATATATGTTTTACTGATTTGTAAACAGGAGGGTAAATACACTCACATAATAATCCAAACCAAAAATCAGGTTATAAATTCACCTAATTGGCTTTTCAGGGCAATTCAAAACCAAAGTACAGCATATCATGCACAGTTCTTTGGGTGTGCTAAAATTAGTGTGTCAACAGTTTTCAGTGCCTTAGTTTTTTTCTTAAATTTAAACAAACAATGTAAGGGAAGTACATGCTATTGTGTATTGTCTTTACATTTTTTAAAGTATTCCAATAAAAATAATTTCTTTCCACATAAAGCTTTGAATGTATTTGAATATAACATTTAAACCACATTAAGAGTACTGTATTTAATTTTTTTCTTAATCAAATATTTCACTTAAAATACTTGTGGCTATTGGGGCATAAAATTAACATGGGGGTACTTTTTTAGTTTTGTTTAGTAAATATAAGTCAAATAAACATGCTAAATCAGATCATGCTCTATTTAGGGCATTGGAAAATTTTCTGGAAAATCCACATCTGTGCTCCAGTGCCAGTGAACTGGTAGAGGCTTAGGCCCTGCTGAAGACTCCAGGACAGCCTGGACCCACCTGTGGGACCAGCTATTAGGTGGCAGGTGGGGATGAATGGCTGTGTTGGTCAAGCTGAGAACCTAGGTTGAGAATTGAGGTTCAGGGTTGTGGCCTCACACCTTAGCCTGGATGTAATTGGGGGTGCTTGTGATGGAGGGCTCAGTGCAGAGCAGCACCAGTGCATGTAGCACTGCATGAGGGGTGCCCTGACCTGTTTCTGGAGACACCTGGCACAGAGGACTTGTTGAAGGGCTGGTTTCATTCTTGTTTGGGCGTGCGGACCCTGGTGTGGGGCTGCTAGGTTGGGCTGGGCAAGGGCAGAGACATAGCTAACTAGTTCTGCACCCTGGGCAAATTCCCAACCTCCTCTTGTGATGAGAAGGGGGTGGTCGGTTTTACCTTTCTTGGGAAAGCAAAGTTCTGTCCTGCATGCCACCCCAGAGACCAGGAAGCAGAGGCTGATGCAGGGCTATTTCTGCCTAGACCTTGCCCACATCTTCCACTCCCTACTCCTTCTCCAGCCATCTCTCCTTTACTCCTAGCAGCACTTGCATGCTTTACACACTGATAGCATGTGCCATGTGTGCTTTGGGTTGGCCACGCCTAATTTAAATGATCCTTGGAAGCCCAAACAGCTTTTAAGGAGTTTAACAAAGCATTCACCTCCACATCCATGTTGGTGCACCTGGATGCTACCAAACTGTTCACAGGAGAACCTGATGCATGAAGCTGTACCATGGGATTACTTTACCAGCTGGATCCTAAAAAGAATGGCATATGCCTACTATTCCTGGGCATCAATGATATTTGGGGTAGTTATTTGCTATAAAAGCAGCTTCTGAAGAATGGTGGGACCTCTTGGGTGGGCCCACTGCCCTGCCTGCATTTTTGATTTGCTGAGTGGTCTGCAAGCTGTTCCATAGATTTGCCTCAAAATGTTAGCTGTTTTTCTTTCTAGACATTCTGCTCCTGACTGCCAGACTCTTGCAGCCAGACTGCATCTTGAACGAGCTTCAAGCTTCTTGACCATGGATTCTGGCTCTTGGCTTTTGTGTCCTGGTTTCTCCCCTGGCCATGCAACTTTCCTTCAAAACTTGGCTCTTACCATTGGTTATGATCACCTGTATGCAGATAGTGTAACCCTTCCTTTCTCAGTTAGTCAAACTTCACTTCCATTATATTTGTGATAGCATATTCCTCCCAGTTCTCATAAAAGCTTTCAGAAGAACCAGGTTGGGAAATATCTCAATTTTTAATGTAAATATATAAAAGGCCAAAAAGCTTAAAGAGAAAAATAAATCTTTCAGGCTTGTATCACTTTTTTATTCAAGTCCAGCTCACTAGGATGTCTTGTCACACATGTTTTCCATAATGTTTTCTGCTTCACAGCACCATTGAGCACTAGGCATCCCCCAGTGATCTCAGCAATCCCTGCACTTTTACAGGTAGAGTCTCAGATCAGAGGCACATTGCTTACAGACATATTGCTGCTCATACTTGGTACATAACTGGTGCATGAAGAGGGCATCTAGATGGCTTTGGAACTGTAACTCCTGTTTATTTTACTCACCATGCAGCAAATCTTAAAGGAAAAAACCTTACGAGAGAGAGGGAAACTCCCTGGTGATCCTTTGGTACAGAGAGAACCCCAGCTCTCAGGCAGCTCAATGCCTAGCTGAATTGCTCCATGTGATCTGAGCTGTTTCAGGCGCCTGTTGACTACAGTAGCCTGTTGACTCCATTAGCTTGTGGTTAATTTGTGCTTCTCTACTTCTGCTTTCCCCAGGAAATAAGTGCAGCAGCTAACCAAGTGATTCACAGTGGAAAGTTTAAAAAGCAGAGTTGGAGCAGTTGAAGGCTTTAAGATGCCTGGTAGGACAGCCGGATCACAAACAAAAGCAGAAAAGCCGGTTTCACTGGATATAGTTTTTGCCAGCTATGGAAGTCAGTAAATCTGAGTGCAGGTATGTTGTCTGCCTTTTATATTTATTTTGGAAACAACTGGCTAGCTGCTTGTCCAAAGAACGTGGCCTCTGCTGGCCTGACTTAGCAATTTGTTTTTATAAAGTTGCTTTCAAAAGGTAGATGCTTCAATGAAAATGCTTGTGGTGTTGGGAAAAGAAGTGAATAAGGGAGGCACACAAGTTAATCATGTTCTTTGGCTTAAGGGGAGAAGAGGAGTCAAAGGTGCAAGTTTCATAGCTGTTTGATTTGATATAGCTCTGTCCTCTTACATGCTTCAAGTCCATTTATACTAGCACCTGATGAAGTAGGCTGTTGCCTACAAAAGCTTCTGAACAGGCTAGACTCTGAGGTGCCCTACTCTGCCTTCTTTTTTAAGTGATCAGGTGTGTAATGGCCTGGCTCTTACTCTGTGTTTCTTGATGATTTCTCTGAGTTTATTTTTTATGGTCATCCGGCTACTGAGTAGCTAGAGGTATTCTATATTTTCCTTGGTGCTGGAAACAACGTTTCATTGATCATTGAACCGGACCTTAAAATTTCCATTTTTCAGTGTTATTCACCTCTGCTACTCTGAGTCCAGCAGCAGTACATCAGTGAAGACTTTCTTTTCTAAGTGGGTATTTGTAAGCTATTGTAGTTCATTAAAAGAGAAAGAAAATGAAATTTACCTGAAAATGTGTGTGTGGGAGAGGAGGAGGTGTGCCTGTTTAATAACTGCCTGGTTTGTAGTTTGCAGAAAGGCTTTTCAAACAAAAGTAAACAGGAACGCAGGTAAGCATCTGAGATGAATCAATGATTTGCTGGAATGTGGCAGATTTAATCCTGCTATGAATTCGTGCAACACTGCCTTTACTGGAGTGACTCCTGCTCAGTATCTGAATTTGATGTTGCTAAAGAACCAAGCACCTTAACCTAGCAAAAGATATGTGTCCTTTGAACAGTATGCCACTCTCTCTAAATCTGCAATGTCTTTTAAAGGCCACCTTCTCTTGCTTGTAGTGTGCAAGATAGAACCTATGTCAACCAAAACAGAGCCTTTAGTGTACTGTGCGAACACGTAAGCATCATTCTAGTCCCAAAATGTTTATGATTTAAACAGAAAGGACAAAGGGAAGGAAGGGAATCGCACATAGCAATATTAACTGTAATTTAACTAGTTCCTTACTTTTAGAATGACTGAACTCAAACTGTTAAATCTACATTACTGCAGACTCTTCACATAACATATAATTCCTACTTTGAATGCTGTAAATAACTGAGCAGGCTAGAGGAAAAACAGGGAAGAGCAACAGAGATCATTAGGGGAAAGTCCAGGCTGACTATATGAAGAAATAAGGGAAAGTCCATTATATAGAATATGTTGAACTTGGGCAAATAATATTTATCAGGGAACACTACAACTGCCTACACAGATGGCAGGGGAGAATTGCATCCTATGGATTAGCTATGTCAGAGATACTTCATCAACTTCTGGGCTCAAGAAAGCTTATGTGAGTCTGGGGTCTCAAAAGTTTATGCATCTCTGATGTAGTTTATCCATAAGGAGCATCTCTACCCAGCTATCTATTCAGAAATCTATATATAACTGAGAGGAAGAAAAGGAGCTAATATGGTTAGACAGGGGGCCAATATGGGTCATCTTGGTGGGACTGGTCTGTGTAGATCCAGTTTATTCTTGATTAAAATCAATCACAGTGGGTGCATCTACATGTGTGCTTTAATGTGCAGCAGCCTATTTTACTGTGCATTAAAGCATTGCGTAAAAAAACATTCAAATGCACTAATGTGCAGTAAAATATGCTACTACGCATTTAAGCATCACTAAGAAAAGGGTGCACTTTTTCTATTGTGCATTAGGGCAGCCTAATGTGCCTTTATTTAGTACCTTAGGGCATTTTTACACATGCATGCACCACAACATGGGTGCTTTGAAAAGTGCCCAGTGCTGCAACATATGCAGTTGTATACGTGACAAAATGTGCATCAGTGTACAGAAAATGGTGGCAGTCTACTTTTGAACTAAAACACACTGAAGGTGTTTTAGTTCAAAAGCGCATCGCCACCATTTTCTCCACACTGACGCACATTTCGCAACTTATACAACTGCAAGCAACACAGCGTAGTGCGGAGCAGACTCAATTAATTGAGTCTGCCCCGATTTGCCAGATCTCCGATGCATCACAGTGTGGAAAAGTGTGTGTATAAATGCTCTTATACTAGAGGTACTAAATTTAATGTGCATTAGGAAAAGCACATTAATGCACATGTAGATGCACCTAGTGATTCAGTTCTAGAGGCCAAAAGGATTTTAGCTTCAGATATTTGATTGTTTCCCATGCTCTTTTCTTTTATCAGTCAGATAAGGGCAAGGGTCCCTGTAATGTGGTCTCACAGATTTCATTTTGAACATGGGGAAAATCTTACCAGTAAGTTTCACTTCCCCTTTCTTACCTACTGCCACTTTCTAAATTACAACAATGGGCCTAATATATATTTTTTACTTTCATGTCCTTTTAAAAAAAGGTTTCTTTTATTCAGACTTCTGATCTGTCATTATCAGACACAAAAATAGTCTATAAACTTGTCAACAGTAAACAGTTCTTAGTAGTTGAATTTTAATAAGTAGAGAGAGGTAGCTAGCCATGTTAGCCTTAAGGTGGTCAGAATGCAGGGTACATTTCTGGGTTAACCAAATAAGGGATATAGAGAGAGCACAAGATTTTGTGAACCCAAGTTCACTTCTAAGGAAATAAACCTGGGTTTACAAAACCTTGTCCTCTCTCTCTCTCTCTCTAATTTAGTTAGTCTATAAATGTGCTCGGACTTTGACTAAACTTTAATGACCAAGATCAATACTGATGGTGGGATATAAGGACTTTGGTCCTTTTGAAAATGTATCAGTTATTCAAAATATAAAGATCCTCTGTCCATGGCCTCCTAGTGCACTGACCTGTCCAGGCAAATAATTATCTTCCAAAGAAGATGGTAAGCTTGAAGGGTTTGGAAGGAACTGTTAGGAGATAGTAGATACCACTGTAAGGAAATATACTCAGGTCAATCTGGATTGGGAATAGATTAATTCAGAGGCCTTAGTTTGCAGTTCAGTGCATCTTCCTCAGGGCTGTTGGAATTAGCAGCAGAATAAATTGTAGCCTCCATTATGAGGGAATGGTGTTTACACTTAGATTTATATATTGGAGGTTTTCTTACATAAATTCAACTCCTGAGATAGTCGCATTCCCTTTCACCTACAACATAATCTTAATCTTTCTAAGACTGTGTTTTTTTTCAGTTCTTCAACACAGATTAGATTCTTGCTGTTGATTTTATTATGGCCACAATGTCACCCTCTGGAGTGCAGTGTCTCACTCCATCAAGTAGAACCCAAGTCAACTTTATCCCACATTAGAAGAATAGGTTAGCTATATAAATTATTAGTGCAAAATAAAAGACAAATAACTTGTCTATTATCAAATAATTAGAGCAGTTCAGTTTGCAGGGAGCCCTTGGGCAAGTTATTTCAGTTCCTTGGGCATTAGTTTCCCCATCAATAAAATGGGTACAGCAATATTGACCTCCTTTGTAAAAGTGCTTTAAGACCTCCTGATGGAATACTCTAGATAAGGGTGAGGCCATATCTTCATTATTGGACTTGACCCATCCTTACTCGGATAGGGGATCATGCTGGGTCCCGTTGGACTGTAAGTATTAGTTAGGTTTACTTGCTTTAATAAGCATTTGCTGGATGAGGCTCCAGAAATGGAAAAATACCTAAATCTGGTGCTCTCTGTGCACTGCAGTCATGATAATATTTGACACCAAGGCATCTAATATATTTTGTGATAAAGAGATGCCCTTCAGAATCCCTGCCAAAGCTGAGGCCTCCCTTAATGAAGAGCTGGCTCTGTAGAAGGCCTCCACTGACTTTCTTCATCTAGCATGATCACTCTCAGTGCAATGTACAGATCTGTGACAGCTCAGCAGTGGGCTGATATCAAGCAATATCCTCCTACCAGGGCTAAATATAAATTCTGACAAATACCCTTCCCACTGAGTCATGAGGAACCTGCCCTTCCTGTTTATTTTGTATAATGTGGTCCTAACATGTGTTCTGCTGAGTTACTGTGTTGCCTTCATTAATTATCTGTTTTTTAGAAATCTTGGTGCTGGTGAGAAATGCCAGACCAACAGTCCTAACATGGGTGTACACAACACAAGGGCTTACTTTGCCCTAAATTGAAACGGTATTTTTTAAAAACCACCACTTCAATTTAGGGAGAATTGAACCACCGTGTTGTGTACAACCCCCTTAACTCCTCGGAGGTGTTTTACTTTGCAGCGTCCCAAAGTCATTTAAGGTGCATTATGCTGCTGAAGGTGCTACAGCGGCTGGAATTAAAATGCAATATGCTGCTGAATGTGGAAACAGCAATGCCATTAAAGTGGTGCAAAAGGCATTTAACCTGCTTTAAAGTGTCGTCTACAAACGCTTCTAGAGTGAAGTCTCCTAGTTCTCCACAGAAGTAGTTTGTTCACACTGCTTGGCCACTGTGCCTCAACCCTGATTTTTTTTTTTTAGGCATAGACTTAATGTGATACTTTATTCTCTGTGTCTATGTGAACCTTGGCCTCCCTGTTCCAGTGGTCAGTGATTTGGATAGTGCCAGTCACATCCCACTAAGAATAGTGTTGTGGCCATCAGTGCATTCCAGGTGGGTTGATGAATAGTTGTGAGAGGACAATTACATTCTTCATTGCCTACTACAGGTATTCTTAATCAAGATGCTGCAACACCCTGGGGTGCTATGGCAGCCTTTTAAGGGCACTGTGAGGTACTGCACAATAGTTAGCTATGCAAACAATTGCATGATTCATGAGAGGAACCCAGAGATTTTAAATAGGAATCTATTATATAATAAATATTTGAATCCATGGTGATCTTTCTGAGTTCTTTGCAACAGAATTGCTCTACTATTTTTCTGCAGTCAAAAAGTGGAAGCAATGAGATGACATATTTTCTGAGGGGTGCCTTGAGTCTAACATGGGGTGCATGGAGTCTAGGCTATTTGCTGTACCCAGTCTGGTTCTGCAGCTTGTTTTTAGCCATGTGAATGTAGAGTGGGAGTAGCATGTACACACATTTGCTGCTCCTGGCAGCCGTGCGGGGTGTAAGTAACTTTTCCCAGTAAAATTAGCCTGGGAAGGTTGGGGGGAAGGGTAGGAAGAGCACAGCCTCAGGGCTGGGGAGAGTGAGAGGGCTTCCCCAGCCCCAGGGCTGTGCTCTGAATGTGTACAGGTTAACCTGTGCCCAATCTAAGTTAGCTTGCCTTCTCAGGAGAACCAACCTTAGAACAAGCCTGCCATTTTTGGGCAATTTAAACCACCCAGAATGCCAGCACAGATGGGCATTTAGATTGACATAACCCAGTTAGGCCGATCTAGATGTAACAGCTTTACATCCCCTACAAAGGCTGAGAACCGTTAGCCTACTAGTGAGAATCTGGAAGTGAAACTGAGAGGCAGGATTGAGATGGGCAAAGTGTGAACAACAGTACACAGGCCAAAGTCCCCATGTATATTTTAATCTCATGATTTATAAACTGGTCACTAAATTCAGCGGGGGGGGGCTGACTCCATGATTTTTGAATACTTGGGTTGGCGGCACTGCCTTTAGCATCCATCAGCAACCAGGAATAGCAAGTAAAAAGCTTGTATGGAAAATAGATCCCTTAAATATGCACAGAGCACTGGTTGTAGATATGCTGTGTGCAAAGCAATATAGTGTTAGGCTGTACATTAGACACTCCTGCTTTTAAGGACTAGAGAAGTTCGGGGTTTGGCTAGGGTAGGACAGGGCTTCCTGCAGAATTTGGGGCCCCTGGGTTCCAGTGGACATGGCCCTCAGCAGCAGAAGGGCTGGTCCAGCAAAGCCTCACTCACCCTGAAGTTGTTTGGCTCATTTGCCACCCCTGTGGCAAGTGGCCCCTTGGCCTGAGGCTGCTTGCCCTGCCACCTCTGCTGCTGGCCCTGCTGGTTTGTGATTGTCAATAAACTGGCTGAGCCCACCAAAGTGGATGGAACTTGTGTCTGTCTGCAGCATGTTAACTTTTGATAACTACTGTATTTACTAAAATATAAGACAAAGGTTTTTTTTTTCCCCCATTCAACATGGGGGGGAGCACCTTGTCTTAGGTTTAGGTATAAGGTGGCTGCATCTCAGAGTCGGAGTTGGAGCCACAGCTACTACCACCCCCACCACCTGCCCACTATAGCTTGTTCTCCTTCCTCTGCTCTGCACTGCTTCTTTACCTTCTCCTTGCAGCTCTGGCTCTTGCTAGGGCCCTGCTCTTGCTGGGGGGCAGGATGCATGGAGCCCATGCTGCCTCCAGCCCCAGCCAGAGCTGCTGTCACTGCTGTGTGATCAAGCTGGGGCTAGAGGCAGCATTGGACATGCAAGCACTGGGTAGTATGTAACCAGGGGACCAAGTGAAAGTGGGGGCAGGTGGCAAGGGGCAGAGGTGAGGCCACTTGACTCCCCTGCTGCTTGTCCCACCACCACCTGCCTCGCTGCTGCTGCTTGCCTGCTTGCAGTAGCGGTAGGTGGTGCTGGTGAGGGGAAGGGACAACTTTAAGGCGACCCTGCAAAAATTAAGTTCCAGACAGGGAAATTAAAAAAAAATATAATTTTTCCATGTGAAGAATCTAATTATTGTTAAATTCAGAATCATCTTGGATTTGGCTAAATATGGTATATCCTGTCAATTCCAGACACTTGGGGAACATTCTAAGCATCAAGAGGCAGGATTTTGGTAGAAACTGTACAACTGGAAAAGCCTGATTTCACCAGTCCAATTAATATGATTATATAGGTTTGGAGTACAGGGATGAAGGAAGGACCTCAGAAGGCTGTGGGAGGAAAGCTGGATATAGGGGCAAAGATTAGATTTGGGGGACAAGGGTGAGATGCTATGACCTCCATCTGCCTGAAGCAGAAAATGGTTGTTCACTGGGTCTTATTTTAGGTTACTGAAAGCTTCTTAATCCTTTACTCCATTCAGTGCTCCCACTAGCTGTGCTGTTGTTCACAGAAAACAAACAAGGATTTAACTAGTCCAGTCCAGTAATTAGGGTGAAAGACTGGAGGAGAAAGGAGCAAAAGGTTGGGAATGAAAGTCAAAAACCAGGAGACAAGATGAGGGTTAAGGAACCAGGAGGCACAGGAGCTACAGGCTTCAGTATAGACCAGCCTTCAGTAAACTGCCACAAGTGGGCTTCAGCTTGACCAGGGGTGGGCAAAATATGGGCCATGGGATAGGTCCCACCAATTAATTCTATCCTGCCCACAGGCAGGTGGGACGGGTGGTGGCCCTGCACAAGCTGTGCTTGTGCCCTGGCAGCTCTGGCTCCAGGCTTTGCTGGCACCGCAGGGGGCACTGGGTGGAAGAGGGCTCACTCGCCTGCCCAGCACTGTGCGGCCTTGGGGGAGCCACACTTGGGTCCTGGCAGCTCCAGCCTCTGCCGGCACTGTGGGCGATACTGGGCAGAAGCAACCCTAGCCCTCTCATCCAGCTGCATGCAGCAGGCCCTGGGTGAGTGACACTCAGGCCCTGGCATCCCTGGTCAGGCTGGGCCAATGGTGCCCTGCCTACCTGCAGCTTGGGAGCCTGTGGTCATGCTGAGGGAGCACATGGGGAGGCTGCCCAAATGCCCAAAGTCCAAGTTGGAAATGAGCTGATCCTTCTTCCCACTGAATGTGTTCCTTTGTTTTTCTTTAACCTAATTTTCAATATACAAGAATAAGACTTTATTCTGAGCTGTTATGCAATCACTTTTATATAAACTACTAAAAAAAGCATAAATCAGGGCAAAAATTATATTTTGCAATCAATTAAAATATTTTATAGTAGGTTTGATTTTTAGCATGTTTAGATGTTTGTTTTGTTTTCTTTAACAAATCTATAATTTGTTAAAACAATATCTTCCCCATTAATTTTGTGTGTGTGGCTCTCAACAGCTCACCAAAACTCATTAAGTGGCTCTCGGGCTGAAATAATTGCCCACCCCTAAACTAGATCCTACAGCAAGCAGAAATAGCCTGCCTGGCATGTCCCTGTTGTCCAGTTCGATGCGAAAATGGGATTCCGAACAGTCATCTTAACCATGTCCCGGCCCTGACCGTTCCAGCTAGGTCTACCTCACCTGGGTCCCTGCAGCAAATACTGCGCTTCTATCCTAGTGAGCCCACCATAGCTCAGACAGTGACACCTAGGGACATATGGTTTGGTATGCAAGTTCTCTAGTAGTAAGTCCCTGCTCTCATAGAGTATGTCGTAGCTTTCAAGGGATTTTGCAGAGCATTATTTTCCCTTTTTTACATAGCAAGCTGAGGCATGGGGACCACAGTGACTTGCCAAAGGTTGCCCAGCAGGCAGCGGCTGAGCAAGGATTATGAGTCTCACAAGTCATGAGGATTATCTGAGTCTCACAAGCCCTAGCTCATGACTCTGTCATGTTGAGCATGGAAGGCCCATGCTAATTATATAGTATTTGCATGTTACATATGTGAGAGAGCTCATTAATGTGATTTGCCAATGTGAGACTTTTAGGTTAAAATTTAAAAGTCCTTCAATTGTGGAAGTTAAAATACAGTAGGCACGCCTGAGTTAATGTTCACCTGAGTTAATATTACCACACCTAAGTTAAGGTGTTTAGCTAGAAGTAAAACTAGCCTGCAGGGCTGTGAAATAGAAGAGAGTTATTACCAGGAATAGCTAAACGGCAGAAAAATTGCAGAAGAAAGGATACCTTGATTAATGAAATATCAAGACCCTTGAAAAATAAAGAGCGCCATTAACACCTGTGGAAGAAAGAGAGATTAGCAGGAATCAGGGAAATGATAATAACCCTTGAAATCAATTAACTCTGTCACTGTGGTCTGAAAAGAAATGCCCCTTCTAGGCAGTTTTAAAGTTTGGGTAAAGCAGTAATCGGAGGGGTGTAAAAGCTCCATTGTACACCCCCTGAATCCAGCCCTGGACACATACAATGTACTTTGTCCTAGAGAGACAGTTGCATGTAAGTTGAAAGGAAATCCATGAGTCTCCAACTTCTCTTCGGTCAAGGAAAGCAGCCAATAAGATGTTAGTGGAAAATTCTGCAAGAAGGTAATACTTGTTTTTTAACTTCAGGTCTGCCTATATCATGGATGTAAGAGAAGAGTTACCGACTCAGCAGGATGATTTACTTGACGGAACAAAACAAAAGCAATTCCCTGACAATGGCAGTGATGTGGATGCCACTGTGCAGCCTGAGTCCCATGAGGAAGGGGAGCACCAGTGCTCTGTACTCCTGTGGGAGATGCTAGCCAAACATTTTCTGGAGTATGAGCAGGCAGCTCCTTTCCTCATCCCAGAAGAGCAGCAGAGGAGGCTGCTTGACTTCCTTCCCCACTTCCTAAAGGTTTGTTCTCTTCTTATTTTTTGTACTAATTCTGGGCTAAATCTTTGTTGCCATGCACATCGTGCGGTCATCATTGTTGCACTCTGAGAACATGTATTTGCATTCTCTCTGCATGCTGTGGTGGGTGGGTCTTTTAATTCCTTTATGGAGGAGGGAACATGGCTTCTGCTGGAACCAGGGGATCCTTCTGTTCTCTTTCCATCCATCTGATGATATTTCCTGAGACTGTGATTATACGGTCCTGTGAGGGGATGGACACATTCTTCTGGTGTGTTTGTGTCTGTGTATTTAGGAAGATATGTCTCAAATTAGATCTGGTCTGAGAGGGGTAACACTATCTATAATCCTATTTAAGCAGGGAAAGATATCATAGCTGGGTACACTTTAGGATTGGGTAAACACTTTAGTGTACATAACCTAATGGACAAATGGAGAGTGGATAAAAAATGCTGAGTGGATGATATTCAGATCAAATTCTTGGAGCGTGATGATGATAAGAACAGCAGTGATGATGTTTAGCTCTCATAGAGCCCATTTCATAGATAAGCTGTGCCTCAAATCCTTTACAAAGGGGCTCCAGTATCATCATTAGCCACACCACAGATGAGGCATCTTAAGGACAGGGAGAAGAAATTATTTTTTTTAACAGCCACCAAGTAGGTCAGTGATAAAACTGAATAGTACCCAGGTTTCCTGAGCTCTAGACCATTGGTGCCCAACTGGGCTGCTGCGATGTGGGGCTGCTGAGGGTAAGTTTAAATGCCAGTATGCTTCCTACAGTGGCAGATTGGGAAGCAGTTGTGGCCAGAGTGCGTGCTTTTGCCACAGCTCTTCCTTGTCCAAGCCTGCACACTCCTCCCAGAAACAGAGGCAGGCATGGCATGTGGGACTGTCCCACACTCCTCTGTTTCCGGGAGAAGGATGTAGGGTCAGACCAGGAAGGGCTGTGGTAAGTCATGTTCTCTTACCATAGACCTTTTGGGGGCAGCACAGAGAGGAGGCAGTATTCTCCTTGCAGCCTCTCTCCCCCACCTCCTTCTCCTATGGCAGCTGTTACTTTGTGAATCCTTTCACTGCCAAATTAAGTCTTTTACAGCCCTGATTGCATGCAGATGCAAGAGGGTTAACATGCTAGAGGGTGAGTGAGGGTGAGAACCTGCAGGCCCTGGGTGAGCCCATATGGCTGCAGTTAAGACTCTGCCTAGCTCCCCCACTCCCCATTCTCCTATGCTGATATGGCAGGTTTGCCAGTAGAAGCCCGGCTTGCCGGCTGGAGCTGAAAGGCTCAGAGCAATTGGTGGGAGCATTCCCCTTCCCCACCAATCAGGAAATGGAAAGAGAGAGGCTTGCCTTGCCCCTACCTAGGGGCAAAGTGAAGACGAGGACCTGAGGGGGAACTAAACCTTCAGGCTTTCCTATTGGTCCGCTCCCAATCTGGGGGCAGAGCCTTCTAAGGGGATAAAAAGCCAGCGTGCCCAGCACATGGGTGGCTTCAATGAGGGACGACAAAGAGGGCTGAGGAAGAGCTGGTGAAGCTGACTAGCGGGGTGGAGTGGTTGCCCCAGAAGCGTCCAGAAGAAGTCTTCGTCGGACAGGAAGCAGCAAGTGGCTGCATCCCAGCCCTGCCATAGACAGAGCCGCAGCGACAGTGCACAGGTTCCAATGTTTATATTGAATACTTGTAAAAATGTAAAGACAATACACAATAGCATATACTTCCCTTACATTGTTTGTTTAAATTTAAGGGGGAAAAAAAACGAAGGTACTGAAAACTGGGACACTAATTTTAGCACACCCAAAGAACTGTGCATGATATGCTGTTGTTGTCCACTCATCTACTTCAACAGAGTTTAACTCTCGTCCGCTGAGGTCATTGCTGCACCTCCAGTTTCACTGTCACTATCTGTAGAATCACTTGCACTACTTATTAGTTCCATTTCAGAGTCAGATTGAGGAAATCTGCTTTAGAATTACTTGGATCATGTTCTCTTTTGCTAAAGGATGGTTTTACCAATAAGTCTATGGGCAAGAGCAACTCATCATCACACTGCATTTTCTTTATTAATTATCCTAGTAACTGATTCTCCAGAAGCAAGAGATTTTAGAAATAGAAACAAGCTTAGCAGTGTTCATTTGGTTTTGGTTTGACCTGCACAGTCAATTAGGTGAATTCATAACTTGGTTTTTGGTTTGGATTATAATGTGAGTGTATTTACCCTCCTGTTTACAAATCAATAAAACATGTATGTACTCTCTCACACACTTCCTAGAGATAATCACCTGAAAAACATTAATTACATCTTTGAAACTGCCAAGCTTGCGTAATATTTTATTGGCATCCATTCATTGTTACTAATGGATTTTATGAAACAATGAATTTTTAGAAATGGGAAAATTTCCTATTGAAAAATAAAGCAGTGGAAAATTGTCTGCCCCACATCCCCGCTGCCTATGTCCTTAGACCAGCACGGCTACAACCATCCAGCAACTGTTGCATTGTTTGGTTTTTTTTCCTCCTCTATGCTGTTGGGATCCCTGGGGGTAACCCTGCACCTTTATTATTGTATTAGGAAAGTGTTATAGGCTGCCCAGTATTGGTATTTATCGTATGAAATGTTTTATGCAAATGTGTTGTATGTGATGTAACTCCTTATGCGAATATTTTAACTATTGACCCATCATTGCTAGTTGTTTTGTTACTGGTTCATCAACTAACTCCTGTTTTATCCATGAGTGCCCCTCTTCCTCAGGCCTGAAGGGCACTGAAGGAGGGGAAGGGCTGCAGTTTAACCTGAGGGCCACTGGGAACTAGTCCTGTGCATGGGTTTACAGTAAATTGGAGTGTGTTGGGTGAATTAATAAATCTAAAAAAAATAAATAAAAGAGGGAGAGAGATCGATCTGAATGTCCTGGCTCTGCTCTGGAGGAAGAAGAGGGGAGCTGTATATAGCTAGGCAGCCATGCCTCCCACAGCATACCTGCACCTGCTGACCATCCCTTCATTTGGAAAGTGGGTACCTTTCTGCACACTACCCAGGTTACACTTAGTACAACACCCATTCCCCCTTCCCTACCCAAGGCATAGAAATAACTGGCTGTGCTCTGGGATGCTAGATTGCTCCTTGGTTTGGCATTAGGGATGCTTTTTTTGAAGTGGTATTAGCCCTGCCAATAGTTTTCAGTTTCTCTCTCCTTTTATTATGTCTATTTCTGTGACAAAAATGGACCCAGTATAAAGTCCTGAACATGTCTGGTCAAATACTTGCTGATTTAGGCCAGTGATTCTCAACTGAGATGCCATTCAGAAGAGTTATGGAAAGGTGCCTTGAGCCTGAGAAGGTTGAAAGATCTACTTATTTAGATCATGTTGCCTGTCTTAAACTTATGATTCCTCACAACTCCTATTTTTCAGCAAGTTTTCAGGATATCCCCAATGAGCACTGTTCCTGGAAAAGGGCCATGCACACTGCCCACTTCTTCTGTTGATGGGACCCCAGAATGGTGCTTTTATAAGGCAGTGTCTGGCAATTATCAGTAGCCAAGGTGATGGCAAATGATGTCATACTGCGGCAATGGATCCCATATAAGAATCTAGTGGGGAGGGATAGAAGTCAGGACATATACAAAGTCCTTGTATATTTTTCTAACTCCATCTGGTTGGGAGTCATAGTATATGAAGATCTTGTCCTAAGACGCATATTGGGGCCTCAAAATTTTAACGCAAATTTCAGACATCGCCTAGCAATCAAATTCTCTGCAAAAATAAAATGTGTTTGAAAACAACTTTTTTTGGGTGAGATCTTTTGACTAGCTGTAGCAATGACTTTTCAGTTCTTAAGTGACAAAATCTCACATTGCTGCTCTTTGCCAACGCAAGCCAAGAATTTTAAATAGGAGTGCAAGGGGATAGATCATAGAGCTGGCTTGTTCATTGCATATGGAAAGCATCAGAGCTTTCCTTCAGGGGTCAAATAGCTGTAAAGGAGTTGCGGGGGAAAGTGGAGCATTGTGCAATATGCGTATGGTTTCTCCTGTAGGCTAGGATGTTCTAAAAGGGAATGTGAAATACACAGGATTCTCTTCCCATTGCAGTTCTTTGTATCCATTAAGTCTGGTAAGTGTTCATTTGATAGTTCTAGGCACATGGTGGCTAATAAATCATATTTTTTTCTGATCCAGCTTCTTGGGAACAAGCATTGGTGGTGAAATGCATGATTTTTTAGGGTTTAGCTCATATTTTCACCAATAACATGTCAACTGTATGAACACTAATGAGCAGCAAATAATATGGCCCCACTAGCAAAAGAGCCAATTGTTTGTGTTGGTCCATCTTTGGTCTTTTAATTTTACTACTACTCCCCTGGCTCTCTTAACAATCACCAATGTGATCAATCATGTACCACTTTTCTAGTGTTCTGCCAACTATTGTGAGAGTAATGGCCTCTAACGTCTATGAACGCACACATTCCATATCCATGTTCCTCCAGCTGGCTCAGTGTTGTTCTGGAGAAACAATTACTTAGGGTGAAGTTACACTTGGACAATACTAAATCTGTGAAATATTAAGCAGTGTTAAAGTTAGAAAGTGCTGCATGTAGTCACATGGTAAGAGTTAAAACTGTTTCTTGCCTGCACAGCTCTGACTTTGCTAGTAGAGAGCTGGCAAGTAAGGGCATGGCAAGGAGTCAAGACACCCTGGGTTGGAGGAGAGGGTGCTGGGAATGATGCATCCTGGACTGTAGATTTCTCATTCATCTCTGTGAAGCAGACTGACATTACTTTAGCATGAGCTAGGTAGCCTGGCTCTGAGTTAATCCTTGCCTGAAGTGGCATAACTTTGAGATGATGAGATGACACTTAGTACCTTTTTAACAAGCTTTAACAGTTTGTTGCTTCCCTTCCACTAAGATTTGCTTAGAACAGGGGTGCTCAACCTCCAGCCTGGGGCAGGGGGTTGGACTTGATGATCTTCTGAGGTCCCTTCCAGCCCTAATGTCTAT